AAATTTCTTAAGGCCTTCTGGGCTATGAAGCTGGGTATAAGGTAAAGAAATCAAATTATATTTTCACAGATTCATGAGAATCTCTCTCTTTCTCCATTAATATGTTTTTTCACTGAACTGCCAAGGAATATTCAGTTATGCGAGTGTCCATAAAGATGGGGAAAGAAAAGAATAAAGATGGGGGACAGAAATGGAATCCGCAAATGGACTTTCTGAATAGAGGTGCTTCTTCTCCTGTCAATCAAAAAGAAATAGTAGCTACTAACCCTGGGCATTTAGGAGGTAGAAAAACATGATATCATATGTAGAAGAAGGTGCAGGAAAAATTATGGATTTCTTAAAAGAATCCAAGATTTTATAAACCACATTTTGTTTTGACCAGATTCAGATCTTTTGAAAAGTTAACCATACAAATTTGCCAATCTTAAAGAACATTTACAGGTAATCCTCGATTTACAACAGTTCATTTAGTGACCATTCAAATTTACAACAGCATTGAAAAAAGCGGCTTATGACCATTTTTCACACTTAATAACTTTTGCAGCATACCCACAGTCATGGGATCAAAATTCAGACACTTGGCAAATGGTTCATATTTATAATGGTCATAAGTCACTTTTTTCAGTGCTGCTGTAACTTTGAATGGTCACTAAATGAACTGTTGTATATCAAAGAGGATAGATAGATAGATAGATAGATAGATAGATAGATAGATAGATACATAGATAGAAGACAGAAGATGATTTATGATAGATGATAAATGATAAATCACTGATAGATAGATGACAGAAGATAGATGTTTTATGATTTATAATAGATAGATGATAGATGATAGGATAAATCATAGATAGATAGATAGATAGATAGATAGATAGATAGATAGATAGATAGATAGAGATAGATGATGGACAGATGATGGATGATAACTAATGACAGATAGATAGATAGACAGATAGATAGATGATAAATCATAGATAGATAGATAGATAGATAGATGACAGATGATTTATGATAGATAGATGATAGATGATAAATCATAGACAGATAGATAGATAGATAGATAGATAGATAGATAGATAGATAGATAGATAGATAGATAGATAGATAGATATAGATGATGGACAGATGATGGATGATAACTAATGACAGATAGATAGATAGATAGATAGATAGATAGATAGATAGATAGATAGATAGATAGATGACAGAAGATAGATGATTTATGATAGATAGATGATAGATTATAAATGATAGATAGATAGTGATAGATGATGGACAGATGATGGATGATAACTAATGACAGATAGATAGATAGATAGATAGATAGATAGATAGATAGATAGATAGGTAGGTAGGTAGGTAGGTAGGTAGGTAGGTAGGTAGGTAGGTAGACAGATGATGGATGATAGATAGATCAATACAACAAAGTATTCCAATCAAGAACAAACAAATCAAAAAATAAACCAAAGCAAAATAGCTGAATAAGTAATAAGAATCACTTTTTTTGAACAGTGACTCTTATTCAGAAATATCAGCTCTCTTCTTCAAGACCCCACATTGAACAAAGTTTGCCAATATGTAAATGTATCTAAATTTATTCCTTCAATAATTTTAAAAATGAATTGCCACCCTAAGCTCTATTTACAGCTTTCTCTTTCCAACCCATCATAATCAAACCAAGCCTATTAGATCAATGGCACAGGGATACCCAAGTTCCTATCTGGAGCCATTTTCCAGTTCTACTAATATTGCATGGGCCAATCACATTAAGTGATATTTTTTCTCCTATTATTGCAATAGTAGCTTATCAAATGCCTGATCAGCATAAATCAGAACTGTTTAGTAGCTAAACAGTAACTGTTTAGTAGCTAAACAGTAACTGTTTAGTAGCTTTGGTGCAAAGGGCTTTTTTTTAACAGGATGGAGGGAGGGGAAATGAATGGTAGGAAAATAAATCTGCTAAGAAAATTAAACCTAGCTTAAAGTCAAGTGATTGTGCAAAAGAGGTTCCAAATGATTTCCCAGGCCATTTTTAAAAAATCTGCCCTTGAGCACAGGGAGGGAGAGAAGGGCATATGGGCCTTATATTCACATTTTATTAATTATATTGTTCCTTTGAGTATTTTTACATGTCTGTGATTTGCAGCACGATTTTTTCCCAGATAGCACAGAACTGAATTTCATAGTTTTAATGTATCAAATATCCTGCTGGGAGATAGCGATTTGAAGGACATTGATATCTTAAAAATTAATATTCTATTGCCACTAGTTTTGTTTTCCATTTGTTCCATGTGAGGGAAATATTTGCTGGAAAAATACATTTTAATACATTTTATATATATATAAAGATCCACACGCTGCTTTTCCATCAAAAAATATTCTAGGTGATGATTAGAAACATCAATTAATAAGAACCAATTAAAAAACTCATAGCAATTAAAGCATTTCCAATATATATGGAAATGAAGAATAACATCAGGGAATTCTTTTGGTCCATATACTTGAATTCCACATTTCTTTATATTTTGCAAAGATATTCTCAATTTGCAAATATGCATGTTAAGGAAAATGGAGTATAAAATACATATATGGGGAAATGTGTATATGGCAACAATACATTTTCTTGATGTTCTATAATAATTGGTTGATATAGAACTTACAATTGAGTATTGGTAAAAGTGACAAGGAGTAAATCTGTGTGCTCCAATGGAAAAATGCTCATAAAATATTTTATCTATTTATAGCATTGTTTTATGTCTGCACTTTAGAGGGATTCATCAGTCCGCATGCTCTGTGTCTAAAAATAATTAAACACCCACCCACACAAATTACTCAATAGCGTGATATGTCATTGAACAAAATTCCCAAAGTATAAAATATTCCATTTTCTCTTTATAAGTCCATATTCTTAACTAGAACATTTTTAACTGGAGGGAATAAAAATGGTTTTTAGTTCAATGAACAAGTCAATATATAAAGTCATGTAAATGGTCTTTGCAGTACATTCTATGATCTTTGTATGTATAGTTCACAAGCATTGTCTACAATGAAAACTACGGATAAACAGGTGAGCATGAAAAGACACAAACATACAGACACGTACACATAGAGATCCACAAACATATACATGGTATCCTCACTTGACAGAACAAAAACATGGAGTTTCAAGGCAGTCATTGTATGAGTTGTGTTCAATTGATGCTATCCATCTATTCCTCAATTTGGGAGAGATGTGAAAAGTAAGCCCATATCCAAGTAATATGTATTGATCCAGGGATGCCCTGGCTGAGTAGGAATTCTGGTCACTAGATTGTTAAGCCAGAATTGGGTCAAGAAGCTACAAACATCAAAGTTCCTTTCTTGTAATTCTTGACTATGGAGTCACGGATGGGAAAAACAGATCTATTTATTTCTCCTCAGCTATTCAGATACATGTAACAGAATAACAGAACGAAAGAGCTGGAAGGGACCTTGAGGTCTTCTAGCCCAAGCCCCTGCTCAAGCAAAAGACCCTATATCAGTGATGGAAAACCTTTTAGAGGCCGAGTGTCCAAACTGCAACCCAAAACCCACTTATGTATTGCCGGGTGCCGGGTGGGTGTGGCCCACTCGGCGGGCGCAGCTACAGTGGGCTTGGCAGACTGTGTGGGCGTGGCCATTGGATGGGTATGGCTGCAGTAGTCATGGCAGATTGGGTGGGCATGGCCGGGGTGGGTGTGGCCACCTCAGTGTTGCTTATGGGAAGGGACACCTGTGGGAGCCGGGCAGGATTGGGAGAGATCCAGGGGGTCTCTGGCAGGTGGGATGGTGGGCTTCCCAATGGTGGCTCCAGACTGGCTGGCCTTAGGCCAGTGATGGCGAACTTTTAGAGACCACGTGTGCTGGGGCAATGGCGCGTGCCCACAGAGCTTGCTTCTCTCCTTGATTAGTTTCCAGGATAGCTATGTCTATAGGAAAATGTACTAAAAAGAACAGTAGTAAGTTAGGCACACCATAAAGTCAGGCTGCAAGAGAGATGAGAAGCAAAACCTAGTTTTCCTACTCAATGGGCATATTTTTTATACCAACAAATGTAATAAAATATTTCAGCTAAGCCTTCTTTAATGAAACCAGTCCTAAAGAAAGGAGATGACCCTATATTTCCTTCAAGCAAGCACATATCAGAAACTTTCAACAAGGAATGAGCAAGAAACCTTTGTCAATACCTTCTAACCAGATTTTGTGTCACTTTCACTTTCTGAATCAGCAGAAAGAATTTGACTGAGAATTACAACCCAGTTATCACTTCATAATATGTGAATTCGGCTTAACCTTTTCAGAATAATATTATTTATTTTTGGTTTTTCAACAGCAACCATATCAAAATAAGATATCTTGTCTGCCATGTAGACAACAATAAAGGAGAAGATCCCACTGTTGATTAAAAGGACAGGTAGCCCTCATTAAGCAATCATTTATGGTTATGATGGGGGTTGAATTTTATGATCAATCCTTGCATTTATGACCTTCACAGGTCTGTAAAGTAAAGGAAATCTGAATTTTTGATAGTAAACTCATGGAGTTCCCACTTAGCGGGCTGCTTCACTTAACGGCCAAGTTGCTGGTCCCAATTGTGGGAACCAAGTTGATGATCTCAATGAAGATTGTCTGTAGAAGACTGCCTTATGCAGCTCAAACTATGCCTATTTAACCTAACAGATGCCATATAAAGTCTGAGGACTCTTAAGTCTTAAGAGCCATTTCCAGTACTTCCTTAGAATTTTACGCACGCAAAACAAGCACACTAACATAGTTAATATTCTCCCATTAATCTTTTCAACAGTTATGCCAGAGATAAAATGAATAGATATGCAGTGGGTAGTTACCATGGAGTTTTCAAAATACAGCGTCTTCTGAGGCAACTGACAGTAATTGACACAATAAACGTAATTGATTAAATATATAATGCACTAATCTGAAATAATTATTGGACAGATTAAGAATCAATTGAAAATTCATACCTAGAAATTACTTTTTAATGGATTGTTCTGCAATTGGTAGGAGGTAGTAAGTGCAGTCCCTCAGTTGTGGGCTATTCAGATTCTGTTCACTGTGCCCATCAGTGCCGTAGATTACAATGTGGAGAATGATCCATCAAGCTTAAAGGCTTTACAGTTTCACCATGGACCATTGGTAGAACGGGATAAGAATTCAAATTAATCTTCATCAGTGGAAGGAATGACCTGAAAAAAAAAAAAGCAATTCACCATTTACCTATATAAGCATCTAAAATATAGAGACAAAGTGAGCAGATGGGAACATGTGATCTTCCAGATGTTGTGAACTGCAAGTCCCATCAATCTTCACTATTGACCATGACTGTAGCATCTCCATCTATTTCCAGAGATAATGCAGTTCTGAGGTTTGGAAGTTAAACATTCAAGTGTGAAGTTCTGGAAAGGACTAGTCCTATTATTAGAAGGAATAAAGGTGATTCTGCAGGAGATACAGTGATGTGGGTCATGCAACGTAGCTGGCCATCCCTTAATCTTGCTGCTGCTGTAGAGAATCCTTTCCTGTTTCTAAAACTGTTGTAAATGATTTATTTTATGGATTAGGAGAAGTTTAGCAAATTCTTTGCTGCTTTTGGCCCAAATCTAAAGTATCTCTTGGTGATGATCATGGTAGAAGATGGGAGGGAACAAGCAAGCTGAACATATTAACTTGAATTCACTGAGAATTTCATTAATATAAATGGGATGGATGGATGGATGGGCAGACAATCTATAAAAAGAGGTTACGTGAACCAAACTTATATTGAATATCCATAATATGAGCCCAATATATATTCTCTTAAACATTTTCAGCACCTTCAAATATTGTTTCCATAGCAATGATGAACACCACGGGGATCTTTTTCAGGCTGAAAGCTGATTTTTGAATGATGTTCCAGGAACCCTACTCAAACAAACTGATTCAGCTAGAACAAACCCCAATTTTTTATTACAACATGGAGGCTGCTTTTAGAGAAATCCCCAAAATTGCATGCAAAGGCTTTTGAGGCAAAGGGTTGCATGTCACTGAGACCCCCATTTGTGTATATTTTCTACAGATTCAGGAGATGTCCACAACATGGGTTGTTTGCAATGGTGAATGTCTTAGTCAAAATGGCAGCTCTGATGGAGCAATTCTTCTTTAAGTTCACTTTTTTTTACTGCATTTCTCCATTTTTTTCACAATTATTCACCTTGGGTGATTCTTTCCAGTACACTGTAGGGTATCAAGAAGACACCATAAGCTCAGTTCTGAGGATTCAAGCCCATCAGGAGAGTAATAACAAAGCCAACATTGGCACTGGGAATTTGGAAATTATCTCGTCTTACCACAGTTGCAGCTCTGATTTGAGGCTTAATTAAAACCAAGTTAAACATACATACACATTCGTAGAGTAACTATTTGAGAGATCACTCTCCTGGATAAATAAAGCTTTTGGCATTGAGTTCTCAATTTACTGAAAGAACCTTCCAGCTCAACTGGACATTTGTTTATATTATTTCAAAGAAAGAAAGAAAGAAAGAAAGAAAGAAAGAAAGAAAGAAAGAAAGAAAGAAAGAAAGAAAGAAAGAAAGAAAGAAAGAAAGAATTATACACACACACACACACATACACACACACACATACTGCACATAAAGCTAATCCTTCATAATCTCCTAGAGTTGCACCTAAAACACAGTTTCGTGCAAGTGACCTTTTGCAGAAAGGCTGTTTCTATGACAACAGTATTGTTCAGTTCAGTTAGAAGAAAAATACTGCATGAGAGGGGGAAAAAACCCCTAATTTTGCTGCATTTGATGTCACATTTAATGTGGACAACTTGCCAACGCTAAGTAAATCTCCCCATACTGGCATTTTTCAGATATTTAGCATCCCAGCTCAGAATGAACCTAATAAGAAATAAGGCAATCCTGGCAACATTTTGGATGGAAAAACCGAGGTACTAATCTTCCATGAAATGCACATATAAGTAAGTCTGCAGAGTTTTATAGAGTGGCTGTTATTGCAATGATAATGCAACTGACATTTTGCATACGACAGCTCATAAAAAACCTCAAGCAGTAATTACTATGGTAAGGTGATAACTTCTGGTTTCAACTACTGCAGATCTCTGAGGACAATGGCAGGCAATGTACAAATATACACAATTTTCCAGTGTAATATACTAAGGATAACATCCAAAGGCCATCCCAAATTGTTCTTCAGTTTCTAGAGCTGTGTTGAAAAACGGTTGATATTTTAACTATTTTCATTTACTTTCAATCTGCGGTCTTCCTGGCTAACTTATCCTTCAGCAAAATCCTAAGGGGAAACCCAGGGAGGGAAGGTTTGGTCTTCAGAAGACTGAATAACAACCACAGTAACAATGTCTTCCACCATTTCCAAGAGAATGAATGAATGAATGAATGCATCTCCAAGAGAAATCCAAAAGAATTTCTTAAACATACTGAAAACAAGGCAGGAAAAGGACATCTTCTTTCACAGAGAAGAAATTAGGGAATTGAAGAAACTTCAGTTCTTCTAGTCCTCCAGGAATCTGATGTTTCTTTTCCATCAGTTCTATACGTATGCTTGGAAACATTTTTTTCCCCTAAACAGGATGTTCTTTTGCGTAGGTGCCCATTTCCTCAGGTTCATGCTTCACCGAGATTTAACAAAGGATCACACTAGAAATAGGCGGATCCTTCCAATATTCTGCACAATCTCTTTTCCAAAATATTTCCCAAAAGAGTTTTGCCTGTCCCCCCCCCCTCTTTTATACTGTCTGAAATATACTGGCATTTTCCTCTTTGGAAGCTCTTTGACTCTCACTGCTTCCTATCCTCTGTTCTATCCTTGTTCCTTTCCCTTTTTTCTGCTTTATCTCCATCCCTCCAGTCTTCCTCCTGTTATTGGCATTAAAGGAAGTTCTCAACTAGCAACCACAACTGAGACCAGAAACATTTGTTGTTAAGTAGTAGGGTCATTAAATCAGGCATCGTGTGATTGCGCCTGATTTTGCAACTTATTTGCTGCAACGGTTAAGCAAATCATCTCAATCATTAAGCGAGACATCCCGTGATTGTGACTTGGCTGCCCCAGAGAAAAGAAGCTGGACCTGAGCAGAGATGATGAAATCAATGGCATCTGGTTACACTTTGGAGAAGGGATGGTGAAAGTCCTGACTTAATGAAAGAGGCCTCTTAAAAACCGAGGAATGTTGTTCAAATTCAAGCTAAACTGACTTAAATCTTCTCTGCCCTGTTACTGTAAGGACTATGGGTGAGCAGCTGGGAAAAGCCATTATACCTCAGTGCCCTCTAAGATCAACTAAGATGATCAAAGGCCTGGAGACTAAAACATATGAAGAATGGCTGCAGGACTGGGGTTTGGCTAGTCTAAAGAAAAGAAGAAACAGGGGCGACATGATAGCAGTGTTTCAGCATTTGAGGAGCTGCCACAAAGAAGAGGGGGTCAGGTTGTTCACCAGAGCACCAGAGGGAAAGACAAGAAACAACGGTAGGAAACTGACCAAAGAGAGAAGCAACCTGGAATTAAGGAGAAAATTCCTGACAGTGAGGACAATTAACCAATGGAACATCTTGCCTTCAGAAATTGTGGGTGCTCCATCACTGGAGGTTTTAAAGAAGAGACTAGACAGTCACTTGTCTGAAATGGTATAGGTTCTCCTGCTCAAGCAGGGGGCTGGACTAGAAGACCACCAAGGTCCCTTCCAGCTCTATTCTATTCTAAACCCATTCTAAACAAACCACACTGCAGCCACACCAATTGAGCAGGTTGTGTTTAAATGCTTACAATAAGTTATCTCTAGCCACAAGGGGAAGCCAAGCCTCAGGTTTATTGCCACCACTACTCAAAATTTAGATACGGGGGGGGGGGGAAACCTGGCTCACCAAAAAGTAACATTCCCCATCATAATGTCCCCAGATAGATCATAATCTGCTACTCCCTTTCTGTGGTTAAAACCATCACGTACAGGATGCTTCGTAGTCCAGATATATATGAGGACTTTCTCACAAATAGTTATTTACTTGAAAAAGCACTTCATATCCTGATGTCCTTACAAAGCAAAGTGGGAATAACAATCCAGATATCCACAACTTTTTTCTGTTTCATGTTAAGTTTTGGACATGGTTTCTGATTGCAACTGAAAATTTTTGGAACCTTCATCTAACCTAGAACCTTCATCTAGGAACTTCATCTAACCAAGTTCTTAACAGAACAGAATAACAAGAGTTGGAAGGGACCTTGAAGGTCTTCTAGTCCAACCCTCTGCTCAGGCAGGAGACCCTACACCATTTCAGACAAATGGCTGTCCCATCTCTTCTTAAAAACTTCCAGTGTTGGAGCATTCACCGCTTCTAGATACAAGTTGTTCCACTGGTTAATTGTCAGGAAGTTTCTCCTTAGTTCTAGATTGCTTCTCTCCTTGATTAGTTTCCATCTGTTGCTTCTTGTTCTGCCTTCAGGGGCTTTGGAGAATAGCTTGACTTTCTCTTCTTTGTGTTCTTGCCTTCTAATATGCAAGATAAACAATATGACTCTACGCGATGCTTAGTTTTGTACCCAGCCAGCCTTTCTGAAATTTACTCTTTTCAATACATATGACACATCCAGCAGCATGCCATATCACTGGGATTTGTTAACCAAACACCTTCCCGTGGTCTTCGTTCAGAACCTTGTCCTTGGACTGCAGAGGTATTAGATATCTCTCCCACCTGATAGTTTGAAAAGATGACAGTCTTGTTGCCAATTTATTTATTTATTTTTTTAAAAAAGAAAACTAATTGTTTTCCCCCCTCCGGGCAGAAGTAAGGAACTTGTTAAAGCCCTGAGAGACTCATCAGAAACTACATCACGAGCAGTAGGAAACATGGCTCATTTGAATACTTGAGAGGCATGTAATCAACATAATTTGGATATCGTTTTCATCATGAAGAGAAAAGATGACTCACTGCATCCAGTGGACACTTTGCAATTAATCTGCAGAAATGACGGGGCCTAGAGGAGGAGCTGCTGAAGAAGCTGAACAATATGGGGTTGAAAAAACACAAGAGTTTGCCCCATAGGCACAGAAATTATTTATAACAAATGCTCCAGCATTTTCCTTTCCAGCCTTAGGAATGCAGTAAAACCAAATGGTTCTTTCTGAGACAAATATACAACCTCTAACTATGTCAGTATGCAT